CTTGTCATCGTAAGGTTATCGACTTTATTTCTTTATGAGTTTGGATTTGATCTCGCAACACTGAAGTCATTTCAGCATTGTATCACACTCTAGTCGGAGATTTCCTCCTCTCCTTGTTCTTAACACTACACTCTGTACGAATCTCGTTACTAAAACTCTGTTCTCGCTAAAACTGTATCATTCTTATCATTCATTTGTAAACTGAGTTTCAATGTGATAGAATGAATAAGAAGAATATCACTGAAATATTATGTTTTTTAGAGATCAAGTTCATGCTTCAGAACTTGCTGAAACTGTATCATTCATTTGTAAACTTAGTTTCAATTTGACAGAATGAGTAAGAAGAATATCACTGAAATATTATGTTTTTCAGAGATCAAGTTCATGCTTCAGAACTTGCTGAAACTGTATCATTTATTTGTAAACTTAGTTTGAATTTGATAGAATCAATAAGAAGGTTTTTCTGACTCTCATATTGTATGTAAACAATGATGCCTAATCGTGCCTAATTTTATTTCGTTTGTGTGTCTAATATACTTATGTTATGCACGAATAGACATATGCCTAATGTACAAAGGCGTGATAATGAGTCAATCATTATATCATCCTGCATCGTATATTTTAGTTTGTATAATACTAATGCTTAAATTTTACAGTTTTTTTTTTAATTTTTTTTGAAACACTAAACTTTTTTATATCTACTTTCACTTCTTTGTTTTTTTTTAAATATATATATATCTCTTTTAGGCATGTTCAATTGTTGGGTGGAGGTTGCAATTGCAGCCCACTTTTTTTTATAAAAAGTTGGGCTATTGATGTTGTTGTGGAATCTCACACTGTGCACACTCAAGCACAGGCATTTGACGATCTTCTAGAACCTTGTGTAGAAGTGAGTTGCAGTCGATTCTAAAGGGAAAGCACGTAGTTATGTGAGCACGAATCATCATAGATTGTCTGAATTATGTGATGTCAAACCCGACGCCTCCCTCATCATGTTATGGAATACTTCACATGTTGAGATATATATATAAATATAAAGTAGATGATCATACCCGGACTCACTCCATTCACCCAAGTCTAATTGCCAGCACGCATACGAAGAAGAAGCAGGAGAGTAGCATTTCTATGAGATTCGTATCCCGCTTAGGATTGCGAGATACAACCAGCTTGGGATCCGTATCTCCATCGCCGTTCATCGATACCATACCGATATTGGTATACATGTTCAGTTGTCATATACTCTGATGACTTTTCTTCTATATGGGATAACAAGATATCCCATATAAATGTTCTGCATCTAGATGATTAAGCATATAGAGAAAAATCTTACCAAGTATGTAGAACTTTCTATTAACCCATTCTAATTTAAATAGTAATTAGCTGAACTCTATATCTTCAATGGAAATATAATCGTTTTTATATTCTCATCGCCACTCAATTACTCTCTCCTGCTCGTAGGTCTGTTCATCAGCAATTTTTGAAGAATAACAAAAAAGAGAGTTAATAATAGCCTTCCAAACTCTCGATTTTATCGAGGGTTTGGGTGTCTGCCTCTACTTTGTCATCTTTTCTTGTAGTCTGCAGTCTTGTCTAGCAATCGATCATAAGCAGCAATCAGAAAAAAATTGGTAAAATCGCTTACTTATTCACACATCGTAAGTTTTTTGATTATTACATTTGATTACAATAACAATCAATTGCAATATATGTTACTATCAAATCTTTGTAATTTTTACCATTCATAATGAAAAGAAATCATTGATGATATTTCTTTGGTTTAATATAATCTGTAGATTAAAATGAATAATTCCAATGACATATTGTATTCGTAAAAAGAAACTTTCATTTAAAAAATTTCATATTATATGATTTAAAATACTAAATAATATTTTACATTATGTTAATGATTTTAATTATTTAATTATGCATAATAAAAATAGAAATGATTAAGGGTTAATTTATGTAAATGCAACATTTTGAAAATATGTTTGAAAAAACCTCTTTGTAAATTTTTGTAATATATTATTACACTAATTTTATTTTATTAGTGTTGATTTAATAATTGATAAATTAATTTATTTTTTTATGAAAATATGAGTAAAAGTTGAAATATGCAAAGTTGGTTAAAAAATTATGAAATCCAATGTTAAATAAAATATTCAAATGTTTTGATAATGGATCATGTTTTAGTTTAAATCAATGTTACAAAAAAATCGTACATTATGAATTTTAAATTTTATTAAATTTTTCTTAAGTTTACCACATAATCTCAAACTTTGCTAAAGTCATATAAACTACAATTTAAAATTTAAGTTTAATCATCTACCTTCTAGTAATTTAAAATTTTTATATTTATACAATTGGATAAATCTTTGTCATATATTGTAATTCTATTATCAAATTTTTGATTTTATTATTGTGAGATAGAATTTTGAAGTAATTTATTTTTTTAAATAATTATAAAAAATCAAACTAATTTTATTCATGATCCAAACTTCTCAGATGATGAACTAAATTGAAATTATTTTCTAATCTAATTGCAAAAATTGCTCAAATTGTTCACTTTTATTATTATTTTCTGCTTTCTAGATAGTGTTGAATTCAAAATCGTCTTTTCATCAATGTACAGACGTCATCGGTTCAGAAGTTTCACATGACATTGATGAAACGTACTTGATACGATATAGCCATACTTCTTTTTGGTTAGTTATAAAAAACTAAATTTTAATCATTTGAGTACTTAAAAGCCAATTTGTGAAAATTATTTATCTACTTCAATTGATATCAGAATTTTAAATTTTGCAATTTCACTTTAATTTTGCAACTTCAATCTTTGTATTATGCATATTTTTTTTGGTTTAAACCCAGTTGAAATCTAAAAATAATTTTCATGTTAATCAAAGATTTTTTTAAAAAAAATATGTTAAACATTTATTTTATAAATGCATTTTAAATTTTTTCATAAATTTTTTTGATAAAAAAATCATTATCTTAAAAAAATTTATTAGTTTTTAAGTATAATCATTTATTATCATGTTGATTATAAACTTACAATCAAGTAAAAGTCAAATTTATAATCAATTTTGTAAAAATAATTGTACATAATATTTGAAATAATTGTAAAAATTTTAATTGAATTAAGGTGAATTAGATCTTTATTTAAAGTTTCATATTAAAATACAATATATTTAAAAAGATAAATTTGCACGTCAAATCCAATCATATAATTCAAATCAAACGATAATTTATGATATAACATGGTATCATGATATATTATTACAATGACAATTAAATCTAACAAGTTCATCATTCATCTCAATTGTTATTAATTATTAGATGTTTAAAGTTTAAAATATGAGTTTTTATCTAAAAATTCATCATGAAAAAACTAAAAAAAAAATTTAAGTTAGGAAAATTAATTACTTGATTGTGATAAAGTTTAACTAATCAAAATGATATGCTCATCATCTCAAATTGATCATAATGAACACATTTGATTGTGATTATATTTAATATAGGTAACAACGTCCATTGAGTAGTATGTTGTAGTCTCTTCATGTCTCATTCTCATTATACATCTTGTCAATTCTGGTTCATGAGATTAGTTTTCTTAATCAGGAATTAAACATTTCAATGATTCTTTTTATTCACAAAAATCTCATGCTTTGTAATCAATAAAGTCAAATTTGACACATGTATGAGTCTAATCAAAATCATGAGATCTCAAGAATTTATACAAGCATGAAAGTTTTTTCTCTTTAATATTATGATAATAGTCATCTAGATCTAAAACATTATTATAATATCAATAACATTGAAAATGACTATTGATACTAGTTCTTGTGACAATTTCACAAGAATCATGATCATCATACGTTTAAGAATAATGATTTCAAAATAGATTTTAATCTTGTATCAATAAGCTAATGTCATTGTTTGTTAGTATTTATTTTTTGAATTTTGTATAAAATCTATAATGGATATAAAACAAGTAATGGAAAAACCAGAGAGTTGAGTTTACTCAAATGACATCAAAATGTGAAATAAGTCATACAATATTAGAATATCTAAACAATCTAGATCAACTAGTGTCCTAATACAAGATTATTGAAAGCAAAACCATATTTGGGTAACACTCATCATGATATATTTAAAATATAGGATATTATTTAGAGGAAAAAGAATATACAATGAAAAAAATTAAAAGACATAAATTTCATAACATACGGTAGTCCTTGTGAAATCTCTCACAATCATGGCAAAGAATAGCACACATTGTGACATAGAACTCTATAAAGCTGTTCCTATACATGGATTCTTTTGGTCCATTACGGTGCACCAGCCTCCCCACGAAAGTATGAAATATCAACTTTCCGGAAACTCTATGTTAGTGACATGTAAACATAACATCTGCAATATTCTCCTGGTAATATATAGTCTTGCGGAGACGTTTATAGATTGTATAACATTCCAACTCTTCCTCTTGATGGAGATAACTATAGTCAAATGCTATTGCAAACACATCATGTCTAGTTCCTTTCTACGCTATGAAATGGAAATGGAACTAAAATGGAACTAAACATCATATGTCTAGTTACATTTTATGCTATGAGTGAACTATCCACATGCATAATTAGTCACATGAACCACGTTGCATGTTATGTAGTATCTTCGTTACCACGAAGATGTATATGGGGTGCACCAAGTCAACTAGTAAAGGAAAGTGGAGCGAAAATTGTGAGCTAAAATTACCTCTTCTTCACCTAAACCTACACGGCGTTTTGAATCGAGGAGTATCCGGAACATGTAATAACGAAACGAAGGGTAGAGGGGGAACAAATTCTGTTAACATTGGTCGGAGCCGGTGAAAGTCAACGCTTGCTGTCAATGCTGGCGTTGACAGGACCACGGCAGAATGTCTCCAGCTGCAGACATGAGCCATTCAGCAACAAGACTCTGAGTCGAAGTCCGCTGCTTCCACTACGAAGAAGATCGGCAGAAAGTACAGCTGAAATCGGGTAAGCGATGAGTATTACGGTGCTCTGTGACGACTGTAGACAGAAGCTGCATCTATCGAACCGTGCCGCCCTTCTCGACCTGTCAGGGCTCGATCGCAATCGGGAGTTGGGCTCGGCTCAAGACGACCGAGGAGAGCATCGCGGTGCATGCAAAGCATGGCAGCAGAGGACGTGACAGGGTCGGGGTTCGGGGTTCGGGAAGGGGTGGGCAGTTTTCCCTTGTCCTGACAATGAGTCAAAGGGATCTTGGACCTCGGCTGTTCGGCCGTGAAGATAGCTATTTTGTCAATCGAGTTAGTCCCGTGTGGGCACCTTGACCGAGCACGAGACAGCGAGATGGAGGGGGAATTTGGGTGGACATTTTGGAAGAATTTGCCACCGTTGGATGGGACGGGGTGTGATTGCCCAGGAGATGATGGGATTCGGAGAGAGCTGGTTTACTACTTCGGACCAAAATTCAGACAGATCAGGGCTACCGGACAAAGAATTCGATCACAGCTTGAGAATCTGCCGAAGATCGCATCGATTCGAGGAGATGGTGATTACAAAGCGCATCAGTTATTCTCAGGCTTGTGACAAGTGGGAGGTGATAAGCGCCAGCTCACCGGGCGGTCCGATGTTCTTCGTCATTGCTATTACATTCGGCGTAGTCCCTAGGAATACGAGGAAGTATGAAGGGCGCCAGTTTTTTACAGCGATGGGCATTCTCGAAGATGTTCTTGAGCTGACTGGAGTGGCGCCGTTGACATAATTGGACAACGATGCCTTTCTTCTTCGTTCGCGAGGCAATGTGCTGTCCACCAAGGAGCGGTGAGAGAGACGAAGAAAGAGCCGGCACAGAGAGTTGGGGATCGGTGGTGACGGGCTGCCAAACAAATTGTGCTAGATCGAGGTGGTTTGCTCTGCGTAGGAAGTGGAGAGTTCGGAGAAGTCGCTCGTCATTGCATCAACTCCCTTTTCCGTGCATCAGTTTTACTCACCCAGATCAAGCGATGATATTCGTCGTTGCTTCCTCTTCTTCTGTGTTCACCCCGGTCTCTGCCTTGGCCTCAGAGGTGTCGGCCTCATCACCTCCCGAGATTGTGTCCGTCAAGGCCCTTTCGCAGGCAAGCCGAGTCCCTCTCTTGCTCGCAGGTATGAAGAAAGAAAGCTGCATTGATCTCTTTAAGTCAACTGAAGTTTACTTGGGGGGCTCTCTCGCTTGTTCGCTGTACGAGTTAGATTGGGCCGTGATTATTTATTTGAAACTTGGTCTATCTTTTTGAGACGCTGTCGAACCTGCCCCTCTTGAACCAGGATTCCCTCCGCAAGCAGATTTGACTATATGACATGGCTAGTCACTTATGCATCCTCGGTTTGGTTCAATTTCCTGAAGTTGCAGTTGAAAGGTGCCAGATTGGGGAGTGTGTTCGAAAGTGCCTAAACTAAAGGACATCCCGTGATCCACTTTGAGCAAGGAGTAGTCACCAGGGAGAACAACAACATGCCAGGTTACTGCCAAGATGGGCATTACTGGACCATGGGGAAGCTGCCCATGTTCGGATGCAAAGACTCTGGCACAGTCTTAAGCGAGATTGAAGCTTGCAAGGCGGTTTACAGTAGACATTGTTTCCTTCGGTTCTTAGGATTGGACAGCATCAAGCAGATTCAGTGCTCTGCGTTCATCGTCCACAAGCGCACAGGGCCATAAGCAGGCGATTTGTCGACTCTCCTCCACTTTTGAGAAAGCAGCGATCACCATTGGGAAAGCTTGAAAGGTGCACCTTGAATGTGATTGTCGAAAACGCTGCGCTTCTCGTGAGTGTAAGTTTCCGTATCGATCCATCAGCGATAAGAACTACATTTGTTGTCAATGCCGAGAGATGTTGTTTTAAAGTTGACACCACAGTGCAGCGTCCATGTTACAGAAGTTGTAGAGTCCATGTGTCCCTTCCGTCTTCAGCAAGCAGGTGGTCACATTTGGGCGATTCACTAATGAACAATGTCGCTGTGTGAGAGCAACACACGACTGTCACGCACAATGTTGTCTTTGAATGTCTACTTGTATCCGAACATTGCCCATCATTATCTACCACCACCAATCGTTGGCGTTGTTGTTTAATAATACAATTCTGATCGAGATTGCCGACATGGACAGTATGTACGGTCGGGCAAGTCGGACACACACGGGAACAAGAGTGGATGAAGTACGAGGTGCAAGTTGAAACAGACATCGTCCGTTTGCAGTTGAGTTCAATTTGTCCACACACCTTCTCGAGTAGATGTGTTCAGTTTCTAGCCAACATATCTCGCCCGCACTCAACTTGCCATCGTGGTCTGAATATTTGTACCAAAGGACGGTAGTACATTGACAAAACTTTCTCTGTAGTTGACTTCCAGCATGGAAAATCTCCAAAGACGATCGGTTCTTCGCCTGACGTACTCCAGAAATCTGATCAAGCCACACGTATGGAATCGGACACTTGGGTGCTGCATTGCAATGCATGGTCGCTGGAGCGTGTCTCAAAGGACACAGCATCCCTTGAAAGTTGGCAGATTAATCGGCTGGACTGAGACGGGTATACGGGTACCGGTGTTACCTCATTTGTGGGAGCATGGCTGAGGGCACGTTAGCACGCGGGGATGATTGCTCACGCTTAAGACGAACGTGATGACAGTGAAGCCTAGCAATCGTGACTCAGGAGAGAGTGGGCTAGTAGGCGGCAAGTGCTTTTGTTTCTGGTTTCTTATTTTGTATTGTGTGCTTTTGTCTGGTGCCTTGCAAAGGACATGGTGAAGGCCTAGGTGTTCATCTTTGTCACTGGAGAGTTCGGGCAATCTGATCCTTTCCATGAGAAACCGTGTGGGAAGGTGTGAACGATTTCTGCTCACTACGAACCATGGTTGTGACTGTATCCGTAGCACTGACACTCATAAGCAGATCAGTCGGACTCGATGGCACATGCAGATAGCATGTGGGACCAAGCCTCGAATGACCTTGGACTAACAAGGATTGAAGCAAAATGAACGCCACTGAACGGTATTTGATACACAATGGCTCGTTGAGAATAATTTTAGAGTCTTGAACTGAAGACTTAAACACCTTGGTAGAAATGCAGAGTGTGTTTTCGTGGTAAGGGGTTTAGAGTACAGGAACAGAATTAACTACAGAGCACAACACATAGAAGATTGCATGTCATCGAAATGATTGCACTTCTTGGGTGGATGACGTCCAGCTCGATTACTTTCACGTGCACTTTCCTTTTGAGGAGTTTGCGAATTGCCTTCTCTACTCCTGAAGGTATCCTGAAGTCAAACCAGTTGGGAAACGGTCTTCTTTCAGCCGAATTTTTTTCTTTAACAATTGCCCGTACGACACCGTTGCATGCAAGAATAAGGATACGATGATGATGTGGTCAGGCCCTCGGGCAGTAGAGCATAGGTCGCTTAATCTTTGTAACACTACCACCGTCGTGGGACGACGTGAACGAATCAGGAAAAGAACTTGCGAGTGTACGTCTTGATGAAGGCATGGTGTGGGCTTCGACAGGACTTGTACTGTCACAGTCAGATTAAAAATTATTAAAAATCACTTCTGTCTTGCTTAAACGGGTTCGAACCTCCACAGCTGCAGGATCACACAGCACCGTCTCGACCCAGTCCCACCCGTCCCCACACCTCGCAACTGAGCTGGAAGCTTGTCTTTATGGCTCAAGGAGATCTTTGGCCAACGATCAGCCCAAGACGAAAAGCAACTCGAGTCAAGCCATTGAATGGGCGGGAATCTGAGTCGACACCACTTCGCAAGATATTCTGTTGATCGATTCGAAAGTTGTGCGTTGTGGTATCTCAGGCTTCCTCGCAGTATATATATGTAAGGAAGATGTCGATTCTGTTTAAGGATCCTTCCTTGGAATCCCACGGTGGGGCTGGAGAATCCACTCCGTTGGGTCATGTCGCCCTGCCAAATAGGAGAATGGAGAGACAGGGGAGTGCAGACATCTAGACCAATCGATACGGGAAAGAAGTCAAACGGAGAGGTGCGTATTGCGTAAGCGTTTTCTGTAAGAATCACTTCATAAGTAAGTACAGTGATTAAAAATCCCGATTAAATACTCATAATTGTTACCAAAAAATGAGTATCAAGATTAGTTCAAAATGTCATAGATTGTCAATCCACGCAAGTTTTGAAGATTGTTGAGTTTGGAAATTTTGATTGATGTTTCATCATTTAGTATTAGGAGGCTTCATTTCGGTAGTAGTAAACAAAATAAACTGGTATGGGCCATATTGCATTCGTTTTCAGATCATATTGGGCAATAAACACTTAGAAACGTCTAAAGATTTCAGTAATCCACTGTAGGATTTGTTGAGAAGCAGCACCTAAACCCTCGTCACCTTGTGATTGACTTGGTCAAAATTTATAAACCTAATTCAATATTATTATTTTTGCGATAGCGGAATGAACTAAATGACACTGCATAATCTGATATTCTAAATGTAAAGCATTTCTTCAAATTCAATAAATCATTAAGAATTATTGAAAAACAATCTGTTTAGGTTCATAAGATATTAAAGCATATCTTGTTAGGTTTTGCGCTGGCTTGTCTCAGATATTTTTTTATAGTTGTTTCATTGACATCATCTTTGGGAACTAGAGCCCTTTTACTAGAAACACCTATGCTTCCCCTAAAATGCATAGGTGTTGTTCGACTTATATCACATCATTAAGACTCATAGAGTACTTTAGTTTTGGGTTCTTTGACATTACAATGGAATCAAAATATTAAGAATTGATTCGTATCTTTAAATATTATAGCTTAATAATTTTTAAGATCTGCTAGATAATTTCTCTATAATTGTTATATCGGTTTTAAATTCAAACGATCTTTTAAATTTATATATGAATCTCTCATAAATTTACTAATTATTGTAAGTTTTTCCTCATGCCTCGTCTGAAAATACTATCAGTTCGCCGGAAGGAATATGGGATTTTATATGTGAGGGTTGGTAAAGTTAATTTAAATACAGATTTTACTCTTGGTTGTTGGCAATTTTGACACATTCTAGTTTCTATTAAGAATGATTCGACTAAGTACGCACCTCACGATCAAGTAAGCAAATACTCCTAGGATAAATTTGCGAGAGATTACCGTAGAGTAACCAGATCTTCGCATGTAGATTTACGACCGCTCACCGTCCAAGAAGTCACTGAATTAAAACCAAGTGTACACAACAACCCAGAGACCACAAGAGAGAATTGGCCGGATTAGATAGACGCTTCGGAAAGAAGAAAAAGAGAAGAAAGAGAAGAAGAAATAGCGGATGAATGAGGTGCGGATCTAATGACGAGCTGCAGCATGGCATCCGACGACGGCAGGCGGTAGAAAATCCAAGCAAGAGAGAACGCTGCGTCCCAAATATGCGACTTAATGTGCTAGCGCAGCAGCAGCGGTCGAAGAGGATTTCAACAGGCAGGAAGGGAGGGTGAAAAAGCGATCCTAGGTTGCCGCCCCTAAACATCTTCAACAATCTCAGACGAATGACTCGAGCATCGCTTAGTAGAGCGCATTTCCTCGGGTTCGGTGATCTGGGTAAGAATATCGTCCGCCTTCGCCGAGATAACAGAATGAAATAATGCACTTCGTGAGCTGTAAAACTTAGATCTCCAAGGCTGCGAGGTCTAATTTTTGAATAAAACGTAGCGAAGTACAGATGCGTGCCTGTCCTTACTACAGCCAAGCTGATGTACATCTTTGGCACATACAAGTACAAGCTCGAGCCTACATCTTAAAAAAACCATTGAATTAATCCCATGTAAGATTCCTGAGGGCCAGGCCTGACCTGGCCTCCAAAGTCCGCATGTTGATATTCTCTCCTGATCTATCAGAGATTATTGTCGCACAGTCTCCCTCTGGTCTTATTTCGCATGAGATAAACATGCTCAATATATAACATAGATTTATGCTCCGCTGGTTCAAGGCCCGCATGGCCTGACGCGCAGGTATATCCACATTTATTCCCCACCTGAACATGAGTGCCTTGCTATTGCTGGAAGCGGCCGGGGCAGAGGACACGCAGGTTCGAGCTGAGAAGGCCAGAAAGCGAGCGAGCGAATGTTATGGTCAGGCCAGCAGAGGCATGTGGAGCCTGGCCGACTTTACGCCACAGGGCGAGCACAAAAACATCGTTGTGATGATGGGCAGGGCGGGGCTCCAGTGAGTCCAGTTCCAGTTCCAGCTGATGAGTGGGTTGTAAACAGCGAGCATTGAGCGAGCCAGCGAGCCCAGCGAGCGACGAGCGGTAGCAGTAGAAGCACCAATACCGTATGCCACATGCATGACCCTCTTCACTCGAGGACATGTTCCCCCTTCGTGCCGTGCCCCTGCATCGCTTTACAATCCCCTCTAGATTACGAGCCCGCTGCCCGCGGCTGGCCGGATGGATGGACTCGACACACCGTCTGCCATCTCTCCATGTTTTCTACTGCAGTCGAGCGGTTCCTGTCCAATCTTCCACCGCAATTTCGGTCGCGAATGCCTATGCCAACGACGAATCTTTCCTCAGCTCAGACCCTCAGCATGGAAATGATTTTAATGTCCGGCGACTGCTCGACCTTTTTATGAGCATAACGAACATTGGAATCGGTGGACTCGAAGTCTGGTTCGATTGACTTGGCTTTCCCCGTGAGGTCGAAGTCCCATCTCCATCTTCGATTACAAATGCCAGCTCAGGAGATAATTGACACGCTTAAGGAAGCAACGGTCAAGGACGAATCATCTTTCTTACTGCACTAAATAATCTCCAAGAGAATTAGGAATCAGAGATTCTAAATCTTTGACATACAAGGGAATTTGGAAACCGCGCGGAAAATGTTTTCCACCAAATCGACTGTGCCGTCGTCTGACTTTGCATCACTTACAAAAACTTAGTCAAAACCGTGAATACTGCATCAATAACTACATTTCCGTCCGAAGAAGCCAAGTAAGCCATTTGACTGTGCCGTCGTCTGACTTTGCATCACTTACAAAAATTTAGTCAAAACCGTGAATACTGCATCAATAACTACATTTCCTTCCCAAGAAGCCATGGTACCTGCCGAGAAGCTGTCATGCATAGCAACAAGTTTTGCGTTAGTCACACTTGAATTAGTGCGTCATAGTTTAACGTACTTGTCATGTGCACCGTAGTCATAGTTTCAAAATATATATTTTTTTATGCGTCCTCCCGCGCCCTCATCGAGAAATCATCAAGCTCATAAACATAGGCAAAGTGCCAATTGTCATAGTTTATGCTAATTATCTGAAGGATCATTAACATAAACTGGGGATAACTAGCCGCTCCCTTTAATTTTCACAATTCTCGTTAACAATCCTCCAGACTTTCAAACGGCGGAGAAGGTAGAAGGCGCAGATTCGCATGATTAACGACAAGGGGCCGTAGCCCCTTGTCTTTAATCATGCGAATAACCCTATACTTGGGAAAAAAGGATGGGAATATGGGATCCAACAGCTTTATGATGCACCTAAATATGTCATATCCTAGTTAAATGATAATTATCGATGACTGTGCTTTGTTTGATTTGCCTCATCCTCGAAGGTTCACACTCTTCTGAGTCACACTTCCTAACCACGGTAAGAACTCAGACGGACCGAAGCACCGGGTAAAGGGAAGGGGAGGGAAGGCAACATTCAAATCCGGCATCCAAGATCTGAAGGTCGCGGGCGATGGACGAAGGGAAGGAGTCACGGGACGGGCCGGGCCGGGCCGGGACGGAAGGGGTGGGGGCCGGAGGGTCGCGGGGGCGGGCGGCGAAGTGGGTGGAATTCGGGGACGGGGCGAGAGCTGTCGGTCGCGTCAGTCACAGGTGGGCGTCGACAAAGCGCGACGCGAGATGTGTGTCGTGACTCGTGATCCGCCCGGAATGGAAAGGAAATGGGGCGGGGCGAGGGAACAGGGGGAGATGACATGAAGAGGGGCCGAATTCGGCGAGGAGTTCAAAAGGAGCAGACTGCAGGAGAGACAATCGACACACAGCGCGCGACGCAATTGCAACTTGAAGAATCCCATTCTTCTTCGAGTTGCAATTGAGTACGAACACACACGCACACGCACACTCACAGGCATTTTGAAGTACGTGAGATTGAACGAACGAACCAACTGATCGACGGTCGCTGCATTGATTCGCAGATCTTTCTCTCGCTGTGCGCAATCCAGGTCCAGCATTCGAGCTTCTTGTCCTCGCTCGATCTGATATCTGCCCGGCTTCGACTTTCGACTTGAATTATGGCCGAGATGAAGAAGAAGGTCGTGGTCGTCGGAGGTGGTATCGCCGGTAGCGCTATCGCTAAGGGCCTCGAGGACCACGCCGATGTCACTCTCATTGATCCGTATGCCCACTCAACTTCTGTCTCCTCCTCCTCCTCCTCCTCGTTGCTCCTGCTCCGTGCACCTTGGCAGCCTCCCTGCTTTCCTTGCTTTCGCGTTGCCTCCTCTCTACTCAGTGTAGCGTCGCATCAGATCGTGCATGTCGTGTCGATTAGTTTCATCCGATCCTGCCTTCCTGCCTTTGTCATTGCTGCTTTTACACTTTCTGACGCGTCCTTCATGTTTTCCGTTCCTTCAATCTCAATTGCTAGTCAACGAAGACAGAGAATTCAGAGTTTAAAATTTCACAATTTGGCGAAGTGCTATGGTTTTATAGCTGGCCTCTGCCGCCGCTGCGCTGTAGATCTGGCTCACATTTCCGAAATCTTGATGTCTCTTCTCAAACCTGTTCCGTCTTCGGATGTCTAGCCCGAGAGTGTTGAAAGAACTTGGGCTTTATTTGATCCCTAGTTCCGCACTTAACTAGCTCTTGCTCGTCGTGAAATGTGGGAATTGGTAGAATCTTCTGTCGAGGAAGTGCAAGCAATTCCTTGCAAAAGTAGCAGAGTTGGAGTTGGGGAGGACGTAAATTGATCCAAGGAATTTTTGCGGCGCCTGATGGTTTGTCTCATCGTATTACAGGAAGAACTACCTCGACATTCCATACGCTCGCATGCGAGCAATTGTGGAGCCAGCAATGGCAGAGCGATCGATCATTTTACATTCGGATTACTTAAAGAAGGCTAAAATTCTGGAGAGTACCGTCGAGTCGGCAACAGATTCAGAGGTCACGACGGCGAGTGGCGAGCGACTCCCTTACGACTTCCTCGTCGTGTGCACGGGCACCGTCTTCTCTTCCCCCCCTGAAAAGACCACCAAAGCGGAGAGACTTGAGGAGTTTAACGGACGTAAGTAACTTCCAGACATTCCCACTTCAGCGTCAGTTTGCGATTAATGGAAGTCGGGCGAGATCTCAAGTGATCCAGAGTCTCCCGCGTGAACCACTCGTGATAAAACACTGACAGCACTCGGATGCTCTGGAACGATTCTGTGCGGCTCCGCATGGTGACAATCTAGCAGAAATGGAAATTTTTTTCTGAATGCCACAATCATTTGTCGATGCTTGTCTTTCGCGGTATGATTCTGAGCACTGACGTTTGCTCGCTCGTTTGGTTCATACCAGTTAACAGGAAGTTGCAAGAAGCAGAATCTGTGTTGATTATCGGCGGAGGCCCCGTGGGAGTGGAGCTCGCAGGGGAAATTGTAACGGACTTCCCGGCGAAGAAGGTCACCATTATCAGCGGTGCCGATCGCCTAATTGAATTTTTGGGGCCCAAGGCGTCGAAGAAAACCGAGAAGTGGCTGACCAAGAAGGGAGTGACGGTGATTCTGAAAGACAAGATCGACGTCAACGACAGCCTCGCTCCCCCAACTTTCGAAACCAAAAAGCACGTCGAATTGAAGGCCGACGCGCACTTCGTCGCCACCGGTAAGAAGGTGGCCACCAAGTGGCTCGAGGCTTCCGAGGTGTTGAAGGAACACGTGACCGTGGATGGGCGCCTCAAGATGGAATCGACCGGAACATGTCAAGTCGAGGGACTGAAGAATGTTTTTGCTGCAGGAGATATCACCGACTTTAAGGTAAGCTGCAAACTTCTGTAACTCTGTAAACTTCAATCGAGCTGCTCCTCTTGCACCTGCTGGCAGCGATCAGAGGATCGAAGCACGTGCATCATGGACTTGGACTCGAATTGATTTGGAATTGCGGCATGAATGATTGCAGGAAATCAAGCAAGGATTCTTGGCAGGCAAGCACGCCGCCGTCGTGGTGGAGAACATCAAGAAGTTGTCGGCTTCTCCTGACGCCAAGCTTGCGGCGTACAAGCCTCTGGCCACGCCCATGGGCATCGTGTCGTTGGGGCGTGTTCTGGCCGTGGCGCAGATGCCATTCGGGACCATCCTCGGGCGATTGGCAGGTTTGTTGAAGAGCAAGGATCTGTTCGTGGGCAAGACCAGAGAGTCACTGGGACTCAAGGCCAAGTAAACCATCATTCAACTGTATTATTGTACTACTACTACCGGGTGAGGAAGGACATCATCCTTCCCTTCGAATTTGGATTGAACTGAAACATACGCAATAAGTTGGAGAAGAGGCAAGACCTTTAGTTTTGTATTTCTAAATACTGTAAGCGCTTTTCTACACATGAGTGAAGAGTTGAAAGATTGTTCAGGTCTTTGGTCTTTGCTGCTGCTACCGGGTGACCAGCTCACCCCTTTAAGTTATCAAAAATAGGTTTCTTCACATTTCACATTATAGATAGGAAGCCAATTTTGCACAATGTTCACTATATTCTTCTTATAAAGTGCTAGAAGTCCAGATTTAAGCGGACATTCGAAAATTTCGGTTGAAACTTTTTTCTGAACATGGGGCAATTGGACTTGAAGAATGTCTGAGTTCTATTTGTCCTTATCACATATCTGATTGATGACATATTATCACATATCCTTATCATATCCACACGTATATCTTTCATGGCCACATACTCCCCCGAATTGGATGCAAAATCGTTAAGGCCTGCAGAACATGGAAGAAGAATTGAAAGGAACGGCACTCTGATAGTAATAACATGTCGTCCATTCTCGTTACAGATTGCTTTTTAACACAAGCAGATAGATGCATTACCACGTATTGATGTGTACCTGTGTACTGAAATTTGATGACTTGTCTCAAGCCGGGCTTTGAGTAAATAGTTTTTTCTTCAACATATATAACAATTTGTGCCCATATAACTTGGGTATTCCCATCGGTTATGGATGAAACCAAAATGATATGATAGTAAGTAGGTCCAATAATGTAAAATAAGGAATGCTTCACTTAAAAAGATCTATACTAAACAAGTAAAACAATGTAAATACTATAGTAATGTTTAGCAAAAAATAGTAAATGTGATGAGTGTAAATATCCAACAGATTATATGACTTAATTTTCGTTAGCCTGACATATGGCGAGCTAACGAAAACATGTAACTAAAACGGTAATGTGGTAAAAAATATAACAACATTAAGGGATAGTCATGATAAAAGTAAGCAGTTAGTAGGGGCTAAAAGCACATTGTATAACAATGATTATAGGCGTTGAAAGTTATAATTTTTTTGTAATTTATGAAGATGAATATTATTGGATCTGTATTTTATAAAAGTTTATATAGAAATTCAAATATAATCTTGTTGTCATTCTATCAACATCAACAGTAGAAATGTGTGATCATATTTGCAAAAGCACCAAGTGTGAATTCCATAAACGGTAGTAAAATGATATTATTTCCAAGAAGATATTTTTTGTGAATTGCAGAGGTAATGGTAAATAGATCAAGCCCGTGGGACTCAAAGGGTCAAAAGCACAAAAAACTTCTTATATGTAAACTATATAATTTCTTGCAAAAAGAAAACATGTACGTAATGATATGATGTGAATAAATGCATTATATTTGAAATAACAACGAAATCAAAGAAAAGTATGTAGCTTATGAGTTTCAATCACATAGAAAAATATAAATGTGAAAAATTTGAATAATAATTAAGAAATTGAAATTGTATTAATATAAAAAAATCAACTAATATGAATAAAAATGAATTTGATGCATGATGAAGTAAAAAAAAGTTTTGTCCTGCATACGGTTTTTGCAAATGCAAAGAAATGATATAATTTTAGCTCAATTTTAAGATATGCAAACATAAAAAATCATATATCTATCTATTAAAGTAAAATATAGTATATTTTAATTATTTATATATTAAAAGATAGTCCTCTACTAAAAGGAAAAAAACAATTAGCATAGCAATGACCGCTTAGGGCAGAGAAGTATTCAACAAGTGAATCAGATGAGAGCGTTGCTTGTTAAAGAGCTATAACATAAGCAACATGACTTCCATTTACTTCTTTCTATTCTAGGTTCTTTTCCACAATTGTTAAAAGATCAGGTGGATTTCGAATTTTTTCATATGAACTGCAAAAGTTGATATATTTTATTTTTAATTAAATATATCATCTTATAGAAAAAAATAATTTCAAAAAAACATATACAAATTTTACATAAAATAATAATGATACAATCAATTAGATCAAACAACCTACTAATGTTTTTTTTGTTAAGAAGCATTTTGTTTTGATGATAAGCATATTTTATTCTTTTTTTATAATAATCTAGTGTAATTGTATCATAAAACATGCATGATTATTTCAAACCAGATAATATTAGAGCAAAGTAGATAGGCTGATGTAAAAATTATTATTTGCGATTTATTCCATGTAAAAGATCAAAATAATTTCATGATTAAATCCTTATGATGAATTTGATAACACTATATCAAAAAAAAATCTTTGGAAACAATCAAACATTCAAATCAATGTTTATTCAATAAATTTATTGAAAAATAAAAAAGGATTAAAAATCCTATGTTAAAAACCATAGATTTGATTTGATATAATAAAATAATGCTAATAGCTCCATAAACAAAAAATTAATTATATGAAATTTACGTAGATACAAAAAATAAGCTAGAATCTTTTAAAAATTTATTTTTGTTCATGATTGTGAGAAAGCAAGAGCAAATTGTTTACCAGATTGTAGCAAAATTTATTTTTTATAACTAAAAGGTCAAAACTCTATGCATTCAAAATAAATATTTTCATTAATTTGTACAACTATTATAATATATTAGACTCAAAAAGAGATCATTTATTTTATTATTTAATTTCTTAATTTCTTTATTTCATATTAACAATACATATGAATATTAGATGCTTCAAATATATTGATTTGTTAATTTTCAATGACACATGAAGAATCCATTAGTTTATAATCATGTATTTCATGTCATACATGCAAAAAATTGTATATATAATGATGATGAAATTTCTTTTTGATTTTTTATACAGATGATAATAAAAATCTATGTTCAAAATATCAACAAAGATAATTTATCTTCAATATTATAGAATTAGAAAATTTTATATTATCATTTTTTCAATTACTATAATGATATTAAACCTCTTTTTTTTAGTGTGATTTATTCTACAATAATAAAAACTACATTGATGATGATTTAAGTATTGCACATTGTATGAAGTTTGAGGTAGATTATTATTTCAAATGAAGAATAAATGATAAAGAAAAAAGTGATGATTGTGTGGGTCTGTTTGGTAATGCAAAAAAAACGTACTTTGTGAAGCTCATGCAATACGTGTTAAAACTTCAGATCCCAACACAACTATCCAACCCTACTACAAGATCTGGCCTTCTTGACGCCTTCAGCGCACTCTCGATTAGTGCATATGAAGAGTGAATTAGAGTTGTAAACTCTCACGAGTGAGCTTGTTAAATACCCTCACTACCTAGTACAAGTAAGTTTCTTGCAAAACCTTCCAATACTACTATCTTCGATGTAAAACTACTGAATAACTAATCTCCACTATCAAACAAATTGAGGCAGTCCAAAAGCTTCACTGCAACCTAACATTCACTCCACACTTATAATGAAATCGGCCCGCGGATTTTTACTAATATAACAAATTTACATGATTAATGTGGATTTTTACTAGTATAACAAATCTACTTAAGCTTTCTTTAGTTTATCATGATTAACTCTATCTGGATAGTTTGTGCCATCTAAATTTAATAGTAAATAGGAACTGTTTAACGCAAAGACTTTGTCAACCTCAGACTGTCCAAACCACTTGGGTAACAGTTTCTTATGTATACTTCAAAAATGCTGTGAATCGTTTGACATCACCAAGTATTACATCTTGAACATCCGCTTCTTTACCTTCGCATCCCACGCCTTTTTCATCTTTGCTTGAGCCATCTCAATTGCTTGTCTCGCTGTAACACTAGGGTTTAGAGAGAAGTTCACTCGAAGATAGAAACGTAAACTCTGAAGATGAGAAATACCAACAATGGTAATCTTCTCCCTTATATAGTTCTCACTAACAAGTACAAAGAGATAAGATCTTATTCCCACCATCCTACCCACTCATAGTTGATGAATGACGTGGCGGATAATCCTAACAAGCACACGGATCGCTGACGTGACGTTGTCAACTAACACACATACTCTCTATCTACCAAGCGCGCTGATCGCAGACGTGGCAGCTACAACTAGTGTACTCTAAAGTATCTATATCAACATTTAGAGTAGCCTCTACTTTAGTTCTAACGAACTAAAGATGGTTACACTCGCCCGCAATCGGATCTTGTTCAATTCATTAAGTTGCATCAGCCGTATTCTTGCACCAGTCGTTGCGACTCGTCAAGTCCGGACGCGCTTTCAAAGCGGTGCGGAGTGTCATCAATTTGTATAATGTCGGAAGTAGAGATTCAATGTCATAGGCTAAACAAAATAGAAATAATACTCTAACCGTTTATATATCCACATTGCATGATGGATCTTGAGATCTCAATCGCTAGCATTTGTACTTGGTTTTGCTTCTTTTGCAATCATAGAACATAAAATCTTGTTTGTTCGTTCTACGAGTCCGTTTGTACTTCGTTTATACATAGTCATAAAACTATGTTTAATTGCTAAGCGTTTCATCATGTCTATCTACACATCACTCATGAATTGAGATCCGTTATCAGATACTATCTCTAACGGAATGTCAAAACGGATAACAATGTGTTAATACACAAATTGTGCTACTTCTGTTTTGATCCATGTCTTCAAAGTCTCAACGTCCGCAAACTTTGTAAGATAATCCGCAGATATTACAATAAAACGGTATTCATTTCTTGTACAAGGCAAAAGTTCCATCAAATCGATACCCCATTTCTCAAAGGATCCTAATGTAGGAATAAGGTGCAAGTTGCCGCTAACCGGAGACTTATTGGCGAATGCTTGACATATCTCACAATGTTTACACTATCAAAACTATCCATGAACATAATTGACCAATAGTATCAAGCCGCCAAGATTTTTTCCACTGTAATGCGTTCCACAAAATGTCACCCACGAAATCCTTCATGAAACTCTCGTAACAATTATGGTATCTATGCAGTCTTCATTGCACATCGGAGTAAACCGTCTCTTCCGCCAAAATATAATAGTTGATCAATCAAATTTTAAAATCTATTCTTATGAGCAATTCGTGTACTAGCTTGTTTGGTTGCATCCTCCGGAAAATTCATATCTTTGAGATATCGGATGATATTTCTATACGCTTCCGATTGGTTGTCATCATTGATTGAAATTAACATTGCGTCAAGAAAATCATCGTACTCCATCTGTGAAAAAAAATTAACATTGCCATGTATTGTGCCTGCGTGATGTACAATCTTCAAGTCAAATTCTTAAAATGATCCATTGTGCAATTCTTTCCATGGTGTTACGTTTGTTGAGAAGATAAA